CATTCTTTCAGGCGGACCTGGACAAAGCGTACACGTGGTCCATCGAGAACATGCTGCATTTCAACGTCACCAAGTGCAAGGTTTTCAGTATACGGCACAAGAGTTTACACAACTACCGCCTAGGACCACAAATTCTACAGCGGACTTCTCACGAGTGCGATCTCGGCGTGATAGTTCAAGATGACCTCGGTTGTTCGAGACAGACTGAAAAGGCAGCTAAGAAAGCAAACCAGTATCTCGGCCTTCTTCGTAGAGCCTTCGGGAAGTTTGACCCTTCAGTCTTCCCAAATGTGCTTAGTGCGTACGTGAGGCCGCACGCGGAATACTCTATCCAAGCGTGGCAACCCTGGCTCAAGCACCATCTCACCGCGCTCGATACTGCACAACGTAGGGCAACGAAAAGCGTCAGAGGTTTGACCAGCCTCCCCTACCCACTCAGGCTGAAGACCCTTAAAATCTACAGTGGACGTTATCGGCGTCTAAGGGGCGATCTCATAATGGTGTACCAGATCCTGAGAGACCCCAACCACCCATGCCATTCCCGTCTAATACTCAGTCAAAACACCCCACTAAGAGGTCACCAGTCTAAGTTAGTCACGCAGTACAGCCGCCTGGAATGTCGGCGAAACTATTTTTCCCTTCGAGTGGCACAGCCTTGGAACACCCTCCCCGAACATGTAATTAATGCACCCACCCTATCCCTTTTCAAAAAACGCCTTGACGATACACTACGTGCTATAGCTCATGACCACCAGATGCTGGCACTAATGCACAACAGACAGGGGATAGTGCCATAACCCTACTCGAGAATGAGTCATTCCAAACGCCATGCACGAAATTTGATAAACGCTACTACTACAGAAACTGGATTACTGTATCCTGTCGACCACAGATAATCGCACACAACCTATGATGTGAACAATAACCACTCCCCTGTTGCTTTGTGTTCGTACTTTCTCATTCTCTTTTCAAACAACGTTTATACGGAAATGCAGTTACATCTGTAAGCGCCCGAACTGAGGACTCCATTATCTCTTCGCTATCCCTTTAGCACGGTAAACACCCTACAGTACATATCAAGATCCTGCTTTTTTACCCGTTATAAATCATTGTTCATCGTCTGCGGATAGGCGCATGGAGAGAACTCTACTAGTATCAGCTGAAGTGGGTCGCAGTGGGAGAACAGAGCTCTGGTCTTTTAGGCGGATTTCCGATAGGCAGCAGAACTCGTCCTCGAGCGTCTCTAATGTTCGGACAAGTGCTGCATGTTGAGCACTCTGTAGCAATGTGAATCCATTGAGGCATGCCAAGCTTTGAGTGATGCAAATACAGTTACTCCGGTAAAACAGGTCTAGCAACACTTTGCTTGCCACACCAATACAAGCCAGAAGAAAACCAGACGCGTTCTCTCTAAACTCAAACAGTCCAGTCGACATGGCCGCAAGTGTCCATACGACTGCATCTGCGCTCAGCGTCACACTTGTCACTGTTCCCTTTGGTGTGGCAGCATGTGAATGCAGACTCAACGCCAAACTATACCGCATGACGTCCAGTCTATGGAGAAGACACAGCCGACCACATGATCTAAAACACACGAAAAGATTACACTGCTACGAGCGCTGATGAACAGGAAGCGATCGATAGTATTGGCTCACCATCCCTTTTCTTGTCGGGCATTCGTTCAGCAGCCTCAGGATGGGTACGATGGTGCCGTACTGAGCCATTCTGGCAGCTCGTAAAACACAGCGCATGAGCTGTGGCGGTATTAGTAACGCATGCGTACGCTGTTGGCCTATCATGCACGCCATAGAATAGACGTAGCGCACTCAGCCTAGGCAAGGAAGCGCACTCGCTAGGCTGAATTATCAATGCCTGCTCTGTGTTTGGTTAACCAAGCCATTCTCACTGGGAGCCATATGGCCCCCAGGGGCGCTGTAGAGAATTCCAGGGGCCCTTGAATGAAAAAGGTATGGGGTTGTGGTAACACAAGTAACAATATTCGCATGAAAATGTTCTGATATTTTCTCTCTCTGCTCACTGATCTCTCATGGTGACTACCGGGCCGCGACATGGATTATGCGCATGCCATTTTCTGTTTACAAAGGGGTGAATCCAGACCACGCTAAGTTTTCATTGTGGAGCAGTTAGAACCCCCCAACCTAACGTAGATTTCGCCGCGCTTACTTTAAACATACAATAACCATACGGCAAAATAGACTGCGCCTATTCACAGTGAACCAACTGGGTTTTACTTAAAACACTGATGCATCTACTGGGTGAGCTGCATTGAATCTAGCGAACTCTTGTCGGTACACTGCGGCCGCTACTGCACAAAGCCACCTTGCAATCACGCTCTACTAATTCCGCCACAGCTCATGCGCTGTGTTACATGAGCTGCCAGAATGGCTCAGTACGGGACCATCGTACCCATCCTGAGGCTGCTGAACGATAGCCCGAAAAGAAAACGGATGGTGAACCAATACTATCGATCGCTTCCTGTTCGTCCGCAATCGTAGCAGTGTAATCTTCTCGTGTGTTTTGGATCATGTGGTCGGCTGTGTCTTCTCCATAGACTGGACGTCATGCGGTATAGTTTGGCGTTGAGTCTGCATTCACATGCTGCCACACCAAAGGGAACAGTGACAAGTGTGACGCTGAGCGCAGGGGCAGTCGTATGGACACTTGCGGTCATGTCGATTGGACTGTTTGAGTTTAGAGAGAATTCGTCGGGTTTCCTTCAGGCTCGTATTGGTGTTGCAAGGAAATTTCTGCTAGACCAGTTTTCCCAGAGCAACGGTTGAAGCAGAGGAACTGAGCTTGACCACTTGGTTAGACATGGGCTTGTCCATAGCGCAATATTGATGATCCAAGATGGCATGCGATTTGAACTAGAAATTAATAGACTATCAAATCATGGCGGTGGATGGCCAAGAAGTGGTGGGCTGAAATTGGGAGGGTAAAAGTGAATTCAGAATTCAGGATTATAAGGATGCAAATGCATGATACGGGGAACAAGAATACGGGAAGGCCTAAGCAGTAGTATCCAAAGCCTATCTACTCTGCTCGATGCAGCAACTAGAGCATTGTTGCTTATCGCCTGCGACGGCCAGAGCACCAGGAAACTTTTTGAGGAAAGATTTATAGTATTGCGTCAGCATGGTACTGTCAGGTTGCCCCAGCTTAGACTGGAAAACGCCTAGGGTTCTAAACCAAGGCCTTTGGTTCAAAAACCTAATTACATCGCAGCGGGTTTGGTAATGGACTATAAGGAGTCCGTTTTAAGGAATAAGAAGCTACGTTCATTCCAACCCCCAAAGAAGAGGGTCATGAGGCCAAGTTTGTCTTGCCTCTAACGATTGACCGATTTGATATGAGTAGATCTGAAGGTGCACGAGCACCACACAACATATCTGAGGCACGCAAACCATCTCAATACGGTAAGGTTCGGCCTCATTGTTTAGGATACTGGGAAACATCTACTGATGGCTGTTACTGGGTTCCAAAACTGTGTCACAAAAATGACAAAGTCAGCATTCTAGAGTCTGCTAGGACAGATCTCATTTTCCGCTTGAGCCACGGAAGATGGTGTCCGTGAGAAAGTAAGATTTGCTTTGAAAATCCACTATTTTGGCGATTAATCGATTATTAACGATTATCGCATCGATTTCAAACGTTCCGGAATGTGCTACTTCTGCACGTGATTAAAAAACCCCTGACACCTCGGCAAAATATATGGGGAACCACTAACCTTGGTAGCTGACCTTCCAATTCTAGAAGTCGAAGGTCAGTAAGAGGCCTATAAATACAGCCAAGGTCCGCTGTAGTTGTATGGTGTTCGTTGGCAGCGATTAATACGTTATTTTGTCAAGGTCATTGGCGTTTTGGTTTTTTCTTCGGTTGGGCTAGAAGTTTTGTGGAGCAGTAAATTGTTATCTTTAGGATTGCGTCTAGTGAGGAGATTATAACAGATGGTGTGGGTGGGTAGCCACATCTGATTACAGCTGCGCCGTCTGGATTTATCGTAGTTTTCAGGCATCTTAACTTTTTTTTACTGCTGTCGACTGGTCGCCCTAAGTGCAAAGCCGCAATTCGTACTGTGTATGTAATCACAATATGGCATACGGATGCGTTCTTTTTTCAATGCTTAGGTGGTTTGTCTCATCTGGACGTAGTCAGCAGCCGTAATGTAACCAGATTAGATTTTCGTGAGATTCAAGAGAGGCGCGCACAAATGGTAAGCCAAATTGAGCCAACACGCCTTTCAGTGCCATTCCCATTGTACTGCAGCTGTCACCTTGAACCTGATCTCGATGACCTATCTCAAATAGCGAAGATCTTTGGCACTACTGTTCATTGACGATGCAATCCACTTTGTTTGCTACATTGATCTTAAAACGAACGAAAACATTTTTCATGGCTAATTTCAGGAAATTAGATGGAGTGGTGGAGTCAGTAACTAAATTGTTTTGTCTTGCTCGCGAATTCCGCAAAGTTACGGCTGCGCAAAATGGTAGGGACAGTTCCTGCAAATCCTCTGACTGACCATCCACAGGTCAATCCAAGAATCCCATCACGTGGTGGGACGCGTATTGATCAGATAACCATTTCAAATAACCATGACCAACTGGTGTTAGCCTACGAGTGGAGGGCATAGGCCATTGGGCAATCATGAGAGCGTATCGTCGTTGTTTGCTTTGCATTATCATCTCAGCCATCGTTCTTGCACACACCATTCGCGGTACATTTGTGTTAAGTTTTTATCTTTCCGAGGAAATAGCCGTTAAGGAACTATCAGTGACTTCGTTTGTGCAGCAGAGAATAGAGTCCAGACTGAGCGTCAAAAACTTGCTAGACCTTGTTGGATGCTTACTTTGTATTCTCTTCTGGGCTTTCGCCTTTGCAGTTCGAATCCGCAAACGGGATTTGACTGAGTCCCAGTACAAAACCTACTACATCACATCTACAGTATTGTGGCAATTATTGGTCGTTCCGTATGTCGTAATATCCGCTGTCCACAGTGTTTATCTGATGGTCATTCTTCTGGATGATGCTGGATATATACAAGGGGAAACTGCCAACCATTTACGTTCCGCATTCAACGGACTGTCTTCACAATTTCCAGATGGTAAGTGATTAGTTGAGTGAACCCGGCTTACCTCTATTTATACTTGTTCATGCATTATTCCTTCGGTCCGGCGTTCCAAGTTCTTCTGTGTCCAGCTAATACATCGGGTCGTCATAGATCCTTGGAGTTGCAACACAAATGGGCGACGTTATAGGCGGCGCTTAGCCTTAATTATCAAGAGCCTACCGTGTAATCCGAGGGCGCGGATTCGAACCCTGAGTTAGGACCGGGCAACCCTCGTAGTATCCGTAGCCCTCGTGCGACTGCTGATGATTGCGCTGCAGCAAAGCGTTGCTACTGCATACGCGCTGGTTGCTGATGCCGTTCTTTCCATGTCACAACCACCTAGTAAGAATCTGAGCTAAGGAGAACAGCAAATGAAGCATGAAAAAGAGCAGGGCAAATAATGCCGGAGATATGCAAGGAGATAAGGCTGGGAGAAAGCCGAAACAGCAATAGGAACAACACTCGCCGACTTCGTAACTTTTGAAGTGTTGTAGGAATGCCCGTGGACCGGCTACAGTTTGCTCTCTAACTACGTCAGATGACCGTCTGGCTAAATACCAGTTCGACGCAAAATGTTTCTGTTCTTTTAAACTCAAAGATAGCCACCACCTGCCAACCGACCCCGACCGAGATGTACAAACTCTGCGTCAAATGATCCATACTCCGGCAGCAATCGTCACGGGAACCATCATGGTGTATTTGCTTCATAATATCAATGGCATTTGTGTGTTTCTTTGTCCCACCCCACCAGACTTATCTTCCTCAACAACAATGATCTTAGACATGAAGCATGATATGTTATAAGGTAGTGTAGTATCAGTGGGTTTTTGTATTCTGTAACGTTAGGTATCGCATTTTCTCGTATCTGTCATCTGCTGGATTGCTGCACGATAGTTTTATTGGGGTTCTCTCCTTCAAATAATAGTGATGCTGTTATAATCTCACTAGACGTAATTCCAAAAATAACAAATTACTGCTCCACAAAACTTCTATCCCAACCGAAGGAAAAAGCGAAACGCCAATGACCTTGGCAAAATAACGTATTAATCGCCGCCAACATACACTGTACAACTACTGCGGACCTTGGTTGTATTTATAGATCTATTAATGACCTAAGACTTCTAGAATGGGAAGGCCAGCTACCAAGGTTAATGATTCCCCAAATCTTTTGCCGAGGTGTCAGGTGGTTTTTAATCACGTGCAGAAGTAGCACATTCCGGAACGTTAGAAGTCGATGCGATAATCGCTAATAATCGATTAATCGCTAAAATAGTGGATTTCCAAGGAAATTCTTACTTTCTCTCGGACAGATGCTAGTACTGCTTCATATAGCTGACTCACATCGGATCCAGCTGGGCAGCCTGTGGACGTCAGTGATCACTACGTGTCCTATACCTCTCCATCTGATTATCTGTTTTCATGTTCATTGCAACTTCAAACGTAAGGGGATTAGCCTTCCGAATAGACTGCCAAAATTGCATTATTATACCCAATATCCTAGCGATCATATCAACGTCTTGTGTGACCATGCCTAGAAATAATAACACGAGGTTGACAACTAAGTTCCGTTGCTTTTTAAACTATTATAAAAGTTCAGTTTTCGATAGAAAGTAACAATTAATTAGGCGATAATGTACTCTCCCTTGTCATTTACATGTTCTTCGCAAAGCTCAACCAGTTTTTCAACACCACATTTGTAGAATTCAGCTCGGTTTAGACTCGAAAAATCATTCAACCAAGCTCTCAATTCTGCCTCCGTATTGAACGAAACTCCGCGTATAGCATTTGAAAGTGATCGAAAGAGGTTCAATGGTTCCATGGTGTACGATGGGATAAAAAGCATAACTTTACAAGACCCACAGGATGGATATGCAAAAGAAAATTGAAATCAAAACGTTCCAACGTGGAACGTAAAGTATCAGTGGTTAGATCATTGCCCTTTAGCAATGCGCTGTGTATCATTTATCACTG